CGTGAGCTCAAGATTTTGAATTTAACCATCACAACCATCCAGAGCAGTAGAACTGGTTGGTGTTTGACCTCGAGCCCAGAGTGGGGCATTGAAGATGATGATGATGGAAAGGTGGCTACCCTTCACACTGTGGGCTCTTTGGCTGGAATATAAATTAAGTGGACACAAACAGATTAGCAAGGGGGGAAGCTACGTTTAACTATACAGGATATCTGGAAGTCCCAGAAAAATATACAACTTGAAGAAAGAGCAAATAGTTAGATTTTATGCAACATGCCGTCAGTGGTGGTGCACACCGTTAGTCCCAGGCACCTGGGAGGCAGAGGCAGGTGGGTCTCTATGAGTTCTAGGCCAGCCTGGTCTACAAAGTTAGTTCCAGCACAGTCCAGGCTACACAGAGACAGCCTGTCTCAAAAAACCAGAAAACCAAACCAAAACTAAACAAAACATTTATGTAACACATCCTTATTACAGATAGGGATGAGACTTGAGGCTTCTGGGGAAGTGGGCAGTTACCCAAGATATGGTAAGGGTGGGGAGGAAATGTGCCTGTCTTACAAATAAGTCTCCCAGAAAGAAAGGTTATATGGATACTGTCCTCTATTTGACACACAAAGTTTACCCTTGTACATTTCCCTTACAGATATGTGTGTGTTTACAAAAAGAAAGCTGCTCAGAGCTACTACTGCATCTGCAGTTTCTCACGACAACAAGACCCAAATATGCCAAGCGTGTTTTGAATTATAATATTTTGGTCTCCTATGATCATATTTAATGGTGATGTGTCCTGAACCTCAGTAACTGAGTACTATGAGAAAAGAATTGGCAGGTCACGGCACACGAGAAACTCGTCTTTGGCATGATTAAGACAGTACCTTCCATGGGGTCATATATTTATTTATAATAATGATGATGATGATGATAGATATACAGAGTACATGAAAGAGTGTGCACAGACTTGCATAAAAATGGAGATGCTCAGCTTGAGTGGTAGGTAGCCCTCAACAGTGACTGCATTTTTTTGCACAGCCTTCAACAAACACTCAACTCACCATTTAATTTTTTTCGTCTTTTGAGTTTCTTGCTCACAATTAAGCTGTCCAATTTATTGATAGTCCACAGAGTGGCTCAACAAAGAGTCACTCTTGTTTTTACAGTCATATGACTCCTGACATAAAGACTGGAAAATTTCTGGGTCAATGCAGAGTAATCTCTAAGATGTATTAACGGGAGGAAAAACAATGTACCAAGGTTTGTGCTGAATTCCTTCTTCTTTACATAGGAAAAGATAAAGCGTAATAATGTGTGTTCGTATCTACTTATATATTTCCCAAAGAGCCCCCTGATAGGTGTGTATGAATCTTTAAAGATGTGGTAACCAGAGTCGGGATGGGATCAGAAGAGGTAATGAAAGTGGGATTCCAGTCTGACTGTGATCTCCCCAACTCATGTTGAAACTTACTTGCCACTTAAAAACTATGAAGTGAGACTTTTAGGGTGTGGTGATGTCAGGGAACTTCTGTCATCGTGACTGACTCAGTGAAAGCTGTTTCTGTGGGAGTGAGTTACTGTCCAGTGTGCTCCTGATAAAGGAGAGAGAGGTCTTGATTCCTCTCTCTGCCTGCATATACTGGTTTGTCCCTTCTGCTATGTCATGACACAGAACAGATGCTCACCAGGTGCTAATACTGTGTTCTTGACTTTCCCAGACACCAGAAGCATGAGCCAGATACATTATTATTGTTCTTTTGGTATGCCAGGTTTTTATTATTTTTATATTTGTAACAGAGTCTCAACCTGTAACACCAGCTATTTTGGAACTTGCTATGTAGCCAAAGTGGACTTGTAACTTACAAAAACCTCCTGCCTCAGATTTTTGCATGATGAGATTATAAGCATGGTATTTTTCTATAGCCACAGAAAAAGGACTAAGAGAGATGAAATGTGTTTTTATAATAATTTTTATCTTTTATTAAATTTTTTATTAATTACACTTTATTCATTTTGTATCCCCCCATAAGCCCCTCCCTCCTCCCCTCCCGATCCCACCCTCCCTCCCCTTTCTGCATGCATGCCACTCCCCAAGTCCACTGATAGGGGAGGTCCTTCTCTTCTTTCTGATCTTAGACCATCAGTTCTCATCAAAAGTGGCTGCATTGTCCTCTACTGTGGCCTGGTAAGGCTGCTCCCCCCTCAGGGGGAGGTGATCAAAGAGCAGGCCAATCAGATTATGTCAGAGGCAGTCCCTCTTCCCATTACTAGGTAACCCACTTGGACACTGAACTGCCATGGGCTACATCTGTGCAGGGGTTCTAGGTTATCTCCACGAATAGTCCTTGGTTGGAGTATGAGTCTCTGGGAAGTTCCCTGTGTTCAAATTTTCTTGTTCTGTTGCTCTCCTTGTGGAGACCCTGTCCCCTCCAGCTCTTACTATTTCCCACTTCTTACATAAAATTCCATTCACTCTGCCCATCAGTTGGCCATCAGGCTCAGCATCTGCTTTGATAGTCTGCAGGGCAGAGGCTTTCAGAGGCCCTCTGTGGCAGGTTTCAAGGTTGTTTCCTGTTTTCTTCTTCTAGCTTTCAGAAGCCCTCTGTAGAAGGTTCCTAGATTGTTTCCTGTTTTCTTCTTCTTCTGATGTCCATCCTCTTTGCCTTTCAGGATGGGGATTGAACATTTTAGTTAGGGTCCTCTCTCTTGCTTAGTTTCTTTAGATGCACAGATTTTAGTGAGTTTGTCCTATGTTGTTTGTCTATATGAGTGAGTATATACCATGTGTGTCTTTTTGCTTCTGGGACAACTCACTCAGGATGATCCTTTCCAGGTCCCACCATTTACCTGCAAATTTCACGATTTCCTTATTTTTCATTGCTGAGTAATATTCCATTGTATAGATGTACCACAATTTCTGCATCCATTCTTCAGTTGAGGGGAAGCTGGGTTGTTTCCAGCTTCTGGCTATTACAAATAAAGCTGCTACAAACATGGTTGAGCAAATGTCCTTTTTGTGTACTTGAGCCTCTTTTGGATATATTCCTAGGAGTGGTATGGTAATTTTTATCTTTTAAATGTATGTGCTTATTAGCTTTTCAAAAATAACGTTAAAAATTACCAGATGTAAACTAAACAAATCTATTTGTTTCTATTATACAATAACAGTGGGACACTGAGAAATAGCTTTTGTTTCCTGCTCACCAGTCAGGCTTATAAAATCACCCGCAGTTGAGAGATCTGCAGAAGAGCAGTTTCCCTCTGGATAGAGCCTTGCTTTATCTTAGCATTCACAACACGCTGATAGTAGCTTCCTTCTTCTCAGGGTCAGCTTCTGCTGTCACCCCAGAGGCCCTGAGTACACAGCAGAAGATAAAAGGTTCGGATGCCTCTTACATGGCCCTGTGTGACTTCCCCAAACAGAGCCACCAACCGTGGAGCAAGTGTATAAACACCTGAGCCGATGGAGGACATCTTCCATCTAAACCACTGTAGTTATAAGTCTGGGCAACTGAAAGTGATGGTCAACAAAAGTGCAAATATGTTTAATATTCTTAAATTCCAAGAGGATTTTTCTGCTTAGACAAGTCTTATGTTAAACATACTTTACGGCATTGGAACAAATCTGGTGGATCTTGATGCAAACTTTTATGCTTGTAGAATTGTTGGCGCCAAACAATTTTTTTAAAAATAACACTTGACTTCATACAAGTCAGTTGCTAAGTCTGAATGTCATTTTAAGTGTCCAATTAGGCAATAGCATTTTGCCATTTGCTGAGGCACGATAATTTTCACAGGTTTGAGAAGTAGAAAGCACAAGCTTTTGTTCTCTGTGATCTGTAAAGGCCCCTTAATGCACTCTTCCGTGTCTTTTGTCTGTCCCCTGAAGTCAGATGTCCCCCACGGACAAGCAGATGCCCTGGTGGCAGGTCCTCTGGCCTTCTCTCTCAGCCTCTTTCTGTCTCAGGAACAACTGTCAGCCGCAGCAGAAGTTAGACCCAGCCGCGCTGGCTTCCTGGTCTGAGTGATTCACTCCCAGGTTTTCTCCCCGCAACAGACTTACTGTCACAGGGTCTGTTTCTGAGGAAATATAGCTGATCACAGCTGATCACAGCTTCATCTTACGTAAGGAATAAAGGGGGTTTCCTGACCATCAACACGGGGAAGGGGCTTCATCGCCCAAGCCCAACGATACCGCTCTCGGCTGTGTGCCTGCTGGGAGGGAAACACCCTAAGCAGAGAGCCCTTGTGCCTCCTTTGGCTTCCCCCTTTACTTTCGTCGGGTAGTAAATGGGACAAAACCTACTAAGCTTCTGCTTCTTTTAGGCCCTAGGTCAACAAACACGTTGTGGACCGGAAATGAGTACTTCCAGCTTTGATGGCTTCCCACTTTCTGTACATCTATTCAGTACCGCCATCTTAGCAGAAAGCATTACACGACACACAAGGGAAGGAGTGCAACTACATTCCAATCAAACTACGCTCACCAGCTCCTGGAATTTCAGCCCATTTTCTTTTAAAGACCGTAAAATGGCGTACTTTATAAATATTTCCAGTCATTTCAAAACGTAAAACCCAAAATGTCAGGCCACTCACAGGCTGACAAGAAGCCACAACGGGAAAGGTGCTTGCTACCATGCCTGGTGACCTTGGCATGAATCTACATGGAGGAAGAAGATATCAGATTCCTGAACATTGTCCTCAGACCTCCACAAGCATGTCTCATGCACACACACACATACACAAATAAATAAAATAACAAATAAATAAATAAATGTAATTTTTAAATGAATGAAAGCAAATTGACCTCACTCATAACCTCCAGGCATACAAAAGCAAGTAATATGTAGATTCTGCCCATTGAAGGCTGTCTACATTATTTTTTTTTTAAACAGATCTTGCCTCAGGTTTATTTGTAAAAACAGCATAGGACACTGGTCATCTGTAAATAGTGTGTAGATGGGTGTGTCACACCAGTCCGTCTGTCTTCACATTAGTAGAACCATTTCCTACGGGGCCGTCACAGGAGCCTGGGCACCTTTGGGAGCCTGAGCTGGAGCCTTGCCCTTTGCTGGAGCTGTGGCCTCTGCCTTGGTTTGAACCTTGGGCTTTGATTTGCAAAGCCTACGATCCTTAGCCATGTAGCTTTGAATCTGCTTCCCAAGCTTGGGGTGAGCAATGAAAGCCAGGCGGCTGAGTTTGTGGCTGGAGGCCTTTGGCATCTTGGGTTTAACAGCTGCAGGCTTCACAAGGGCCTTGATGGCCTCTGCTCGCTCACTCATTGCCTTTGCGTTGTTTGCTTGCATCTTCTTCAGGCCTTTCTTGTTGTGCTTCTTGGCAAAGTGCATGTTCCTCAAGAATTTGGGGTCCACCCCCTTAAGAGATTCGTATCGTTGTGACCGGGGTTTCTTGATGCCATCAAGAACCACACCACACACAACCAGTCCCACAAATGTCTACATTATTTTTTTATTGCTGTAACAAGATACCATGACCAAGGCAGAACATAAAAGAAAGCACCTAATTTGGGTCTCACAGTTCCAGATTGATGGCGTTCATTGCCATCATGGAGGGGGGCATGGCAACAGGCAGGCAGTCATGTCACTAGAATGGTAGCTGAGAGTGTTACATCTGATCCACAGGCCTGAGGTGGAGAAAGAGAAAAGGGCTAGGAGGGAGAGACAGAGACAGAGAGCTAACCAATTAATGGCACTAATGGCATGGGATTTCAAAATCCCAAAGCCCACGCCCAGTGTCACATTTCCTCCAACAAGGCCACTCCTCCTAATTCTTCCTAAATGCTTCCACCAGTTGAAGACTAAGCCTTCAGCTATATGAGCCGGTGGGGGCCATTCTCATTCCAACCACCACATGAGCCATGGACATACACACTCTGGAATGCCGTTGACTATGGTTTCCTCTCAAGGTTGTATCGTAAGCCACTTTGCAGCCTGGGAGATCTCATCACACCTCTCACTGTGATTTTTCATGAGGATTGCCAAGGGTGTACACAGACTATCTCATAGCTTGTCCCCGCTTATGTGACTTGGCTCTCTTCTTTCCACCAGCCACCCTTATTAAGAAGAGCACCTAACAGAATTCTAAGGAGTCAACATCTCTTTTACACCTAGGCAAGGGTATCATACTATGAGTATGCTGCCACCCTTGGCCCAGCTACTTCAACTAGGAACAGGCCTTAGTACAAGGCTAAAATATCCAGGTATTAAATGATTGTGTTAGCTTCCCATCATTGTGATATCAAAGCCAGAATAATTAGCTCATTGAAAGAAATGGTTTCTTTTGGCTCATAAGTTAGGGAAGTATCATAAGAGATGAATTGGTCTTATTGTTTTGTGCCTGTAGCAAGGGTAGGCATTGTGGAGTATGCTCTTCACCTCACTCATTTCCAGGAAGCAGAAGAGAATAGGGAGAAGGTTGGAGTCCCACAGTTACACTCAAGGCCAGTTCCCCAATAACCCAAATGCCTCCTGCTTGGCCTCACTGCTTAAAAAGATCTACAATATTCTGCAAGTTTCACCCTGAGGACCAAGCTCCTAATGCGTGGGCCTTTGAGGGTAGGGCATTCAGGATCCAAACTACAACACTAACGCCAACGGAACTCCAGCCTGTGATTTTACTGGTCCACAGCAACCTTATTAGGCAATTTCATTGGAGAAGGGATGAGTGGCAGGGCAAGTTCAGTGTCATGTCCTTGTGTACAGTACTACCATAACACTGCGTACTCCTCCCAAATTTTCTAGTCAAAACAGAAAGTCTGGGCAGAGTAAATCTGTTAGTGTGAAAATGTTGTATAGAAACTCAGCTCTAGAGAACATAAACTTTATACACATCAGTGTCCCATCCATGCCTTTCAGTCTGACCTCTCTCATCAGCTACATAACTCTCACCTCTTCATTCCCCATCACTTTTGTTTTTTCAAAGCTTTCCTCCCATGAGGCTAGGCTAGGCTGAGTCTTTCACTCTGAATCCTGAGGCTCCCTAGGTCATCTTTATCACTTACATTAAAAAAAAAAATGTTAATTGCTAGGTTAATTACCCATTGGTGGGTGTCAGTTCCCCTCCACTTACCTGCCCACTGTGCTTCTAAATCACATCGGTAACAGCAATGGTAAAGAACAGTGTTCTTATAAATAAGTACATATATATATTTATGTATACATATATATTTATATATACATATTTATATATATACATTGCAAATTTTTGTTTCAAAAACCTGCCAAAAAAAATCAGTGTGCTCTTAAAGCTTGGGAGTGCAGGCTTAGTATCAAATTGCTAAGTTTTAAAACACCATCTAGGTAGGATTGGTGTGCCACATTTTCTAAAACGTGCAAAATCATGCAGGGTAAGTTGGGAGAAGCCAAAATAAACCACCCTGCTTTGGCATGGAGAAGGCACTCATGAGTGAATCACCTTCTCAACACACATTTTCCCCAAATAAATTAGTCATTTTCATGGAGAATGTGGGTAATTTCAGCAGCCGCCACATGACAAAACTTCTCAAGGAGAGAATCAAACAATCAGGAGTAAATAAATATCCATTAGAAGAAAAAATGACATATTTTTAATCTTTGGAGGTTAAGCAAAAACAAACTGCAAAATACCAAGTAACTTAATACTTATTTCTTACTACTGGGATAACCTTTCTTTGGAGTTACAAAGAAAACAAAAACACAGTAAGGCTTCAAGCCATGGTGATCGTGTTGGAATTAGCACAGTCCAGACTCTACAACCTGCCTTGCTGTTTATTAATGTGGCTCTTCACAGTCCTTGCCAGGTCTTAGAAATCAGCTTTCCAGTCTCAATGATCATTCTACACTGGCTGCCAGAAGCCTTCCAGTTTGCCCCTCTCCTTGATGCCAAAAGCGTCCTGAGAAGGGAAAGGCTGAGGTCTGGCTTTCAGAGAAGCCTGTTTATTGAGTTCCAGCAACTGTAAAGTCTCTGATGAAGATTCATTTTCTTGGGTCCTGCTTTCTGCCTGGAAGAATGTTGAGTAGTCCTTATCGGTGGCAAAACAAGCACAGGATCCAGCTCAGCTTCTTTTGGAGTGAAACATGACTACTTTTTAAAGAGATATTTTCTCCATTCATGTCCATTCTGTGCCCTCTGCAAATCTTGACCTTAACCAGAATTTTAAAAGGGACTACTTCTGCACAGGCATGATCCTACACTCACTGGGAAAATGCTCATTGTTTTATTTGTTTGCTAAGGCAACTACAACAATATAAGGAGTTGAGGAAAGACTGTTTCTTAGTGAAATGTTACTATGACAAAATGCTGTAAACAATGAGCTTAAATCAGAGAGAAGTTTTCAGAGGTTTCCATCCATGGTTGGCTGGACCATCACTTTGGAAGTGGTGATGAACATTGTGATGAAAGCACATGGAAGAAGAGATTGCTCATCTCTTGGTAGCCAGGAAGCAAAAAGAGAGGAGAGGTCAAGATCTCAGAATATCCCCTCAAGGACATAGTCCAATTCCTTCTACTAGGCTATCATCCTTGAAGGCTCCACTATCTCTAAGTGGACTGAGGACCAAGCCTGCAGTACATGGGTCAGCCTGTGGTAGGAAGGCAGCAGCTTAGTACCCTCCTACCAGAACCTCTGAGAGGTCACCTGAAAATTTGGGGTATTGCCACGTTCTCCATATCATCACTTTCATGGTTCCCACAGTTTCCTCTTTAGGTTCTGGGAGTCTCTTGTCATCAAGGCTGTTGTGTTAGAGAGAAAAGAGTCACGTGTAGAGAGGCTAGCATGGGAACCTGGTGGCCAGAGCAGAAACAAAACAAGAACTGTTTTCTCAGTGTCCACAATCTCTCTCCTGTGCTCTGAGGACTTCCATAAGCATTTATCCTTGGTCCAAATGCTTGTCATTCATGCACCCATCAGCATGACCGCACTGTACATCCTCTCTGTGTCAGGAGTTTGCTGGCACAGGCATCTGTCTACTAAAAAACACATGGACCCCCTGCTGAGGCTTGCTGCCCTCTGACGTGGGTAGGGAAAAGCAGAGGCCATGGGAGGTGTCCTTGACCAAGTAAGTAATATGCTCTCTGTGATACTGTACTTTCCTCTGTAAAATAGGATAATAATTGCCAGGATGTCACAGGGCTAAGAAAGAAGTAAAATGGACTGTGTGTGAAGATGCTTCACCCGCACCCACCGCAGGTAGCAGCTCACCTGCGCACTGTTTTGGCAGGTGTTGACTAGAGAACTATAAAGCAATTATATCTGTGATGATAACACCAACAGTAATAAGTGCCAGCACTTGCACAGTACTAAAGACATGCCTCATATGTTTCTAGGTCTACCATGCGTGTTCCCTCCTCATGAGTTCTTACAGTCCTTACAGTCCTTACTGGCTTCACAGTTAGCCAGTCACAAAGTGACTCTTGGGCTACAGGGTTCAGCCCCAGAATCCATGCTCTTGGCCATACTCTTGGGCTGCCTCCCTGAGATGGTTTCTGTTTTTGCTGTTCCCCAAACCTGGTAAGTCATTCTATTACATTTATTCTTTTCTTAATTTTTATTAGCTCTTCGAGAATTTCATACAATATATTCCGGTTGTATTCACCACCCTCAAGTCTTCCCAGACCCTGCCTCCCTTTTCTTGCCTACCTAACTTTATGATGATTTCCCCTTCTTCCTTTGCCTCCTCCTCGTCCTCCTCTTCTTCTTCCTCTTCTCATTCTTATTTGTATTTTATTCTCCTTCTTCTTCCTCACCAATTAAATCCAGTTTGTCCTATCCATATACTTCTAGATATCTGGCCTTGCACTGGACCTTCGTTGATCTACCAAGGAATACATATTCTAAGAACACTGATTTTTCTCTGCCCCAGCAACTATCAAATATCAATAGCTACTCAGCTGAGGCGGGACATTGAGCCACCTTTCTTCTCCATGCTGGGATTTTGTCTGGCTTGAGCTCACATAGGTTCTGTGCATGCTGTCACAAGCACTGTGAGTTCTTAGGGGTCACTACCCTGCAGTGATGGGAAAACACTGTTTCTTTGTAGTTGCCCAACACCTCTGGCTCCATCCAGTCTGCTGCAATGATCCCTGAGCCTTAGGAGGAGAAAATGTGATAGACGTTGTATTTAGATCTGTACATTCCATATTTTCTTTCTCTCCACTGTGACGGATTGTGAGTCTTAGTATTAACTGCCATCTGCTGAAGAAAAAAAAAAAGCTCCTTTTGATGAGAGTTAAGAGATTCATGCAAATCCAGTAATGATTCCATCACTCCTCCACTGTCTACAGCAGCATGAGTCGTCAGAGTGAAGCTTTGTGACGGACATGGGTCAAATGGATGAGGCCAACATCCTCAAGGGAGACGTCACAATAAATATAGCTAAGACTCAGTGAAGCAAGGGTTCCACAGAAAGAGGGCAAATTGCCTGCTGTAAGAGGGAGAGTAAGGGGTTAAACTGGAGGTCACCAAGGAGACTGCAGCTCTGTGTCTTATGACACTCCAAATGCCCTTTTTGTGGCTAAACAACCTTTAAGCTGAAGTGGCTTCTGTATCAGAGGCTGGCGTCTGAGCAGTTCCCAACTGCCACACTCGACCACGACAGCTGTGTCCTCAGAAAGCCCTAACTTCCCTATAATAACATTTACGTTGTGGTTTTGAGCTCTTCCCGTGTGGTCTTTTCCAAAGAATCATGGGAAGAATTTCCCTAATAGCCGTATCATGTTTATCATTACTTGGTAAGGTGGGGGGTAGGGAGGCCATCTCACCCTGTAAACACACCACTCAACTCATAAATCATCCTAAAACGTCCTGAAAATCCACAATGCCCAGCCAACTGTGTTGCTAGACCCTCAGTCCTGCCTCCCCGTCTCTCTTTGGAGTGTAAGCTTTGTTTTGGCTGTTCTCTAGCCTGACTGCTTGGCTATGAGAAGGACTGCTGTGAAACCCTCACCTGCTGCTAGCAGTTGGACAGAGGCTGCTGTCAAGGATAGGGAACTGGGAGAAGGCATGGGGTCATGGATGCTCCTTCTTGGCACAGGGCTAGAAAGATGGTTTGAAAGCATAGGGGGAGGCAGGCACTGTGGCACACTCCTGTAACCCTAGCACTTGGAGGGGGGCAGAGGCAGGTGATTCTCTGTGAATATGAGGCTAGCCTGGTCTACAAAGTGAGTCTAGGACATCCAAGGCTACACAGAAAAACTCTGTCTCAAAAACAAAAACAAAAACAAACAATCAAAAAACATAGGAGGATGATCTTGAACACTAGACTTAAAAGTATGGAGTTTTGGCTGGCATGTACCTCAGTGGTAGAGTTTTAGGTTATAAGATGGCCAGAGCCTGAATCTGTGTTAGGCCAGTGCTGCAGACATTTAAAAATATAAACATATGCAAACACACAGGGAAAGCTCTGATACATTGCATAAGTTAACAGATAACATCCATTTATTGTCTTTTCCCCAGTTTTTCGATATTGGGAATTTTTTTTCAAGTGATCAGGCATCATCAATTTTATGTGCAGAAAAAAAGATTTTATTTTTAGAAAAAGAAAAGCCTTCTCATTTGCACAGAATTCCAAAGTGCAGCATCTAATTAAGTCACAGGTTAGTGTGCTGTGGGTGACTGTGTAAGGGCCTCTGTAACCCAGGCAACTGACAGAGTGGACACTGTGTTCTCCCAGCCAGCCTAAGAGACACCCCTTGGCTGCTGCCTCCATGAGATCAGCCTGAGGAGCTGGTTGGCCCCAAAGTAAATTGGGCCTTTTTCTTCTCTTTTCTCTGAGCCATATAGTCCTCCTCGTCATCTTCCCTCTCTCTGCTTCCTTCACACACAACAAATACCCCACACTTCAAATATTTTATTGAAACAAAGAATAAATACAGGAAAGTGTGGCTCACCCTAGCTTGAGTACTGTCTCCTTCCATTCCTTGTCTTCTCCAAGAAAGACTCACACCCTGTGTGTGCATGTGTGTATGTATGGGGGGGTTAAAGCTTAGTTTGCATACAGATCCATTTTCTCATTCAAACAGTTACAGGTTGTCCATATTTCTCAAGCACAGCTTAGCCTGGGCTGCAAAGATGGGTAAGTCCACAAGGAAGCCAGGAAGCCACAGTCCAGGTTAAAGTCAGACAACCTCCCCCGCCCACACACACACATAAAAAAAAATGTAAGACAATGGCAAGGGAGGCAGAGGTGGTAGGAGAAAAATAATGAAGAGTAAGGCTGGGCAGCAGTTGAAGACACCTTTAATTGCAGCAGTTGGGAGGCCGAGGCGGGTATGTCTCTGTGAGTTTAAGGTCAATTTGGTCTACATAGTTAGTGAGTTACAGGAGAGCCAGGGCTACACAGAGAAATGCTGTCTAAACAAACAAACAAACAAAACAGTGAAGAATAGGAAGGATATAATGGGATGGGTGAAAATGGTGTGACTGTTTCTCTAAAACTACAAAAGTTCTAAGTGAGGAGGTGATGTCTAATATCTAAGCAGGCCTTATGTCTGCCAGAGAGATGAGAGAGCAGGAAGGATGATCAATGCACAGGAAACAGCATGTTCAAAGACCCCCAAAAAGGGGAAATAGGGCACATGCGGGCTCTAGTAATGAAGTGAGGTAGGCATGGCTGCTCCAAGAAGCAACAACAATAAGCAATGGAGACTGGATCTAATGAACCTTCTACCATAGGCCAGGTCTTTGTTCCTCTGCAGAGACTCACTTTTCACGTCTGTTTTCTTCACCCTCCTGAATTTGACTGTGTACTCCACCTCTGTCTGGGCTGTGACTCGAGTCCCAGAGTGTCCTAGTATAGAAGGAGAGATCATAGAACTGCCAGGTGCCTGGGTGTGTGCTGGGTATAAAAGCTGGAAGGCATGCTGCATACAAACAAGGACTGCTAGCTATAGCCATGGTGATAGTGATGAGGATAAAGGCGACTGTAGAGTATTCATCTTTTGACTACGACAACACAACTCATGTTGGCTACTTAAGAGAGAAGCAAAGTTTATTTGGGCTCAAAGCATAGGAAGTGTTACGTCCTCCCATCATGATATACGTTCTACTGAGGGTGCATATATCTATGTGATTTGTCTTAGCCACTTTTCAATGGCTATGAAAAAAGCACCATGACCAAGGCAACTCTTTTTATAATACTTTTTATTGGTTATTTGGGAATTTTACATCATGAACCCCAATCACTTTCCCTTCCCAGTCCTCCCAGGTCTGCCCCTTGACCTCAGGACCACCCTGTCCTAATAAAAAGAAGAAGAAAAAGAAAACAAGAAAGTCTAGCTGTGTGGCCCATATTACTCACTGGAGAGTGATCAAACTCCTGATAGCCAGTTCCTTAAAGAAAAGAGTTCTTCCCTACCCACACCCCAGCCAGAAGCCATCAGTTGTGGAGAACCACACTTCAGCATCCTCATCACATTTTTTAAGAGTTCTCTTCAATGGCTTCCTATCTATTGCTGGGTAGGGGTTGTCACAGAAGCCTTCTGTGTCCCTCTTTCTCAACTGTGAGTCTTCAGTCATCAATACTATGGCAAAAGTAGTTTCTGAACCCTTTACAGTCAGCAGGAGCATGGATCATAGACTTACACATGGTTTCTGGCAATAGCACAGAGGTAACAGGTCACAGATATCAACACAGACCCCAGCTGCAGTAGGACCATGGAGAGCTCACAGATACCTGGATGGTCTCAGCTGGTAGCCCAGAACAAGGACATCTGTATGGCCTTTGGTGGCAACTCAGGCCAAGGACATCAACATGGCTTCCAGCTGCTGTAAGACCATGGGCCTCCACATGAACTTCCAGCATCAACACGACCTGGAGCAGCAGACCAGGGATACCAGAGCGGCCCGCAGGGACAGCACAGACCGTGGAGGTCTTTCAGGGAGGTACAATACAGAAAATGAGCCGTTCTTCATCTTCATCATGTTATTGCTCAGAACCCAGGCAATCATGCAGCTGGGCAGCATGTTCGGGGGGGGAGTGCAAGCTCCAAACTGCTGCCCACCACCTGTAGACCCTGCGCAACAACACGTTCCCCTGTCCACCACAGCCCTCTCCCACACCTGTCACTGCAGTGCTTCTTCAATTAAGCCTCTCTCCACTGCTTCCTCACAAGGCTCCATTCCTCTAGCTTTCCCACCTCTCCATCAAATATTCTTTTGTCATAGTGCATTGAAAACTGCTGTATGTTACAAAGCATTTTTTTTTCCTGCTTGCCCAGATAGCTTTGCATGCAGATATTCGTTGCAACAAGTCATTGGTCTGGTCAAGGTGGTAGCACAGACTGCGGACATCTGCATGGCCTTCAGTGGTAACAGGCCACAGACATCAACACAGACCCCAGCTGCAGCAGTACCATGGACCCACTCTCTGAAGCATCATAAATACTAGACCATTGCCAAAACTTGTCTCAGCTATCCTCCTGTTGGCATCCAGTGTCAGGGTGATGTTGCAGCTAGGCAGGGTGTCTGGGGAGTGGGTTCTGTGTGAGCTACTGGCTGCTGCACCACTCCCTGCCCTCAATGTCTGCCATCCCGAGGCTCACCAGGCTCAGTCTTATAGAAGAAACAGTTTATTGGGAGTTTACAGTTTTAGAGGGTGAGTCTATGACCACCATGGTGGGGAGAATGGCAGCATGCAGGCAGGCATGGCCCCAGACCAATAGCTGAGAGCTCACATCCTTACCCAAGTTGAAGACAGAGAGCACTAAGTGGGCATGGTGTGAGCTTTTAAAGCCTCAAAGCCCACTCCCAGTGACACACCTACCCCAAAAAGGCCACACCTCCTAATCCTTCCCGAATAGTTCCACTAACTGATGACCCAGTATTCAAATATAAGCCTGTGGAGGCCTTTCCCATTCAAACTACCACATGGTCTTTCTCACTTCCCTTTTAAAGCCGCCAGGATTTAGTGACCTAATCTAATCTACTTCCCAAAGGCCATACCTCTGCACACAATAGAAGCAATTAATTTCCCTTCTCTTAATCTACTAAAATAAAACTTGGAATATTAAACTCCTACATGAGTCTACAGAGAAAACCACAGGAGGTGGCAATGATCAAATGTTTTCTCCTGACGCTGGAGGAAAAACCCCTAAATGGGCCTCATGGAGCAAATTTGTTTGTGTATTCCAAAGGGATGGAGTTAGTAAAAAATGAAGAGGACTTTTACCTCAGGAATTAGAGGTAAAAGGCTGATGTTGGTATAATGTTCTTTTGAAATGTATACACCTTACCCTTGTTCATTCAAATGCCGATTTCTCTCTCCCACTCTCTGGTTTCAATCGGACATTGCATTGTGATACTTATTCTAAGCATCACCTGTCTCAACTTTGTGTAAACATGCCAAAATAAAGCAACTAGCCACAATGTTGAGCAACAAAAAGGAAGCAGGAAGAGAGGGAGGGGCCAGAGGAGAGGAAGGTGGGAGGCAGAGGAGGAGTAGAGAAGGGCAGAGGAGAGGAGAACAGAAACAGGGGAGAGATCTTGGAATGATCTTGGAGAATGAACCGGACCTAAGATTTCACTACAAGCAAGTATAATGTGGGAAATCTAAATGTTAGGAAACTATCAGGGCTTGGAGGTTTAGGATAGACTAACTATTACCCAGCATTGTATTCTAGGTTAATTAAATAAATCATAGTCTCTGTGTGGTGATTTGGTTATACAGTTGTTTAGGATTAACAGCAGCATTAATAAAAGATAATTATTAGTAACTATTAATTGTACTTACAACAGGCTGAGAAAGTCAGAAAGTGATTATGTAATTTACACACATACACACACACACAGTGGCAGGGAGGGGGGAGGAAGAGACTGCCTTGGGACTTAACCTCCACAGTCCATAGTCATAAGGCTGAGTTGTGAACCTCTGCTGAATGCACTGATCTTTAAGAACATGTTGTGTTTTTGTTTTTGTTTTTCAGGTTTATGTGGAATGTTCATGTAAGAGGCCACAGGAATTGAACATCAGCGCTGTCTGGAGGTCCGACCTGGATCAAGTGACCACAGCAAGAAAAGACTTCATGCACTCAACGTTGCAGGGTTGGGAACAGAACCATAGAACAGGCTGCCGGGCAGTTCTCAGAACTTCAGAGGTTACTAGGCCCTCCAAGACAGTCAGGGGATCTCCTGATGTTCTACATGCTGTAACAATTTCACCCCAATCCCAGGCCCACCCCCACATCAGCATCAGGGAACTCTCATGCCTGATTACTAGTGGTAGAGAAGAGAGTTGTCTGTGCCAAGATTCTGTTTTTGTATTTTTCTTTCTCGAAATGTTCTTTGTCAGACCAAATTTCTGCACATATATGGTGTGTATGTTTCAATTTTTTATTATAAAAGTTATATACTGTAACTATACTGTAATATTAGAAAAATATTAAGGTCAAAACATAGAATGACTGTGAGGTCATTATCCAGAGATAAACTGCACTGTGCTTTGGGGTATTTTCTTTCATTCATTCACGGTGCATATTTTATGAACACGCATTCATGATGGGATTTATTACATATCTCCTAACACTTGTATCATATTATGAGTAGTTTTATATCCCATCTCTTACACTTACTAACATGAAGAGATGGCCTCTCCCTCTGCATAGATGCCAAAGCTCTGAAAAGACTAAGGGAAACAGAGACAGAGTCAGAGTGTAATGTCTGCTTTCAAAATCGTACATGTGCTCCACAGAAATGAAATTGTGTGATTAAATGTTCACTGAAGACGGAGATTTTGAATCTCCATCCAGTGAGATTTATTCTTTCTGAATCAAAGCTCTAAGAAAGACAAAGTTCTGAGAGCTTGGAGAAGTACAGACTTACATGAGATGCCACCTTGGTCCTTCTCTCTGCTTGTTTAACTTAGTCCTCACACCTCATAATTCCCCCGTACCTCATGCCTCCCTCCCACCCTCCCTGCAATCCACTGCATTCCTCTCTTTCCCCACAGCTTTGTCTCTTCAGAACTCTGTATCTTTATCTTGCTGTGTATAGCCGTTTTCGCCAGGCTTCTTTTCCTTAGCACAGTGCACTGGAGTTGCTCTCCATATGATTATATGTATGTAAATACTAGTTACTTTTGATCACTGGCCAGTATTTCCCAGTACAGAATGTGCGCCAGTGTTGACTTAACTGTTCACCAGTCAGGTGATACACATGACTTTCACTTGTTAAACGAATATTCTATCCTATGGGGGTGTGTGTGTGTGTGTGTGTGTGTGTGTGTGTGTGTGTGTGTGTGTTTAACATTTTAGGTTGTTCCCTTATCATAAGTATCCATATAGAGGTATACAAATATAACATTTATATTTGTATACCTCTATATACTGTACATGCATCTGAAGCTCTTAACAAGCATGTATTGTGTCTTTCTAAACACAGGAAAATACAAAAAAAATATAAAATACAGATGCTTCCAAAACTATATTTAATTATATAAGATTATACTACACCCCATGTCTCAGCACTTGGTATCATGGTTAAAATAAGAAGGAGTACTTTAACTTTGTGGTCACAAATTCTGCCTGCCAAGTGGGACTAGCCAAGTGCTTTGTTTCTTGAATCATGAACATGAGTATGATTGGATTCCTATCTGGTTACACTGTTCATAGAAGGACATGTCTTTCGACAGTAGGCTCTCTTGGTTTACACAGAACAGGTGGGCTGTTCAAGGGTAGATGCAAAGCGGGTTCTACTAGAACAGCGTGGTGATTTTCTGGTCACACTTGAGAGCTTGAAGCCAAAGCCACCAACAGAGAAATGATAAGGGTGGCATCTCCTGCTGCATGAAGAGATGGCCTCTCCCTCTGCATAGTTGCCAAGGCTCTGAAAAGAATGAGGGAAACAGAGACAGAGTCAGAATGTGATGGCCGCTTTCAAAATCGTGCATGCGCACCACAGAAACGATTGGCTAGAACAGAAAGTTCACAAAGCCAAAAGTAAAAATTCCTAATTTCCCTATTTCCAGAGAACTGCAGCTAATAATTTCAGTTGTCCTTCCAAGAAACACACAGACACACCTCCTTATGTAAGTATACGGAATACAGTTTGCTTCCTTTGCCTAACAGTGCCTCTTGGACATAGTTCATCCTGGTGCAGATGGAGTCAGGTCACTTTTCCTTGTGTATGAATTCTTATTGTACAGATGTTCCAGAGTGTTAGCCAAGTTCCTTATTGGTGAAGAGTGTATCAGCAGGGTTTGGATGGTTTAGAAAATCCTGTTCCGACTAAGACACCAAGCAGCGGCCTGGCCAAAGCCCATTTAAACAAACTAAAGAAGGTCTGACCTTGGAATTTTGAAACAGAAATTATTGAATTCTTTTCAATCAGTTAAAAAAGGAATTTCTTAAATTAGAAAACTGGACTAGTGGCCCTGTCCTTACCTAGGGAAAACGTCCCTTGAACTTTGACGCCCCTTCTTTATTAGACAATGCCTCCCCCTGCTGGACATTCACTATAGCTGCATTTCTGGTTCAGTTTCTACTTAAATAGTCATACTTGAATCATTATTCCCCCTACCTTTTTTTTGGGGGGGGGAGGGGAGAGCTTAAAATAGTTAACTAATTAATATCCGGATACATTTTATTTATTTTCAACAAAATAAAGTAACAAAGCAAAAAGCAATAAATACAAGTGGCTCCCCTGATCTTTTTGCCATCCTTACTCTCTTCCCTAGAAGTTACAATCAGTGGTGTGGAGTGCATCTTCTCAGACCCATTTCTGTTGTCTTCACCCATTTTACCATCCACAAATGAAACACACTTTGTTTCTTTTTGTGCCATATTTGTGGGTCTATGGTAGAGATGTTGGTTTGACATATTTAAGAGTTAAAGTTAGTTGTGAGACACCGTTTGGGTCCTGGGAATCAAACCCAGGTCCTGTGGAGCAGCAGCCAGTGCTGTTAGCCACGGTGTCACCTCTCTAGCCCTAAAATTTATTTTCTTAAAAAGTATAGAAGCATCTCCAAGACATATTTAGTGAAAAATCAAATCCCATAATCGTCTCAATATTATCATTTATTATAACTGATATAAGAGCTTTATCTGTGTTGTATGTGTGCATATCTGTGTATATGTACAAATTCACACATGTGCTGTGACAGGAGTCGCATACTCTGCAAGGACACACGAGACTATAGAAACAGCTGTTTACCTATTTTGAGGAAAGAAACTTGGTAGCATAGGAATAAAGAAAAAAAAAAACACTGTTCACTCTCTTGTCCTTTTTTATGATTGTAAACTTTGTTTCACGCTTGGATATTAACTTTAAAAAAATAAATTAGGATTTAGAAGGAAAGATCCCAAGGGACCCTGCTGCCGCACTTCTAGAATGCTGCTAGGCAGAGGGTGGTGTCGGGCATTTGGGTAGAGTTGGTTCAGCCTGCAGATGTCTGTGGAACTTGCAGCAACGTAACTAACAGATTAGGGGGATGCAGTGCAGAAGAGCCCACTGGGCAGTGGGTTAGCTAGGGAAGGGCCAGAAGATCAGGCTGCAATTCACCTGTGTTCTGACTTAAGCCATGTACTTACGAGTTCATCACACAGTCGGGGTGAGCGCTGTGGTCCACACACATTAAGAACTTCACTGGTCTACGGAAGGAAAACAGTACTTAGGAGGTTATCCAAATAATAATCCGCCCATTAAGCATTTGAGATGTGCCTGCAAGGTGCTGGAAACTCAAAACTCATCCTTGAAGATCCCACAAGCCACTCCTTTATAAGCAGTATTAGCTGGGCTGGGCGTCATGGCGCATATCTCTGTGAGTTTGAGGCCAACCTGCTCTACACAGAGTTCCAAGATAGCTACACAGGGTGACCCTGTCCAAACTCCCTTCTCACAAAGCCATTTACCAAGCACTTACTATGTGCCTGAAATTTTGGATTGTGTTTTATTCAGATCATTGCATTTAACCCTTCAACCATCCAAAAGAGTTGCAGACTGAACCTGATCATCCAACTGTGTGTGAAGAGTTATAATTTTTCTGTATATAGGTTAGATGTCCAGAAATGTGTATTTGCTTAGTTTTCCGTTTAAAGTGGAGAGTAGGTGGCACCTAAGCTCTGCATTTGTGTGAGCATGAGCAAAGGTGAATCAAAGGGCAATGGTTAAGATCAGGGAGGACTGGAACAGGGATGGCATCACCCACACACCTGGAGGCTTTGGTCAGTTTGGAGAATGGTACAGCCCATTCAACTTTGGGGAGGCAGAAGGCAACAAGATTATGGTGTTGGGCAAGAATACTCCTGATGCCATTTCCACCCAGGCACATCCATAGTGTCTAAGAAAGCTTTCCGGTGTTGAACTGAAAAGCCGTCAGGCTTGCACACTTAAGAGCTGAGATGGTGGTGGCAGCGCACGCCTTTAATCCCAGTGTTCAGGAGGCAGAGGCAAGTGGATCCCTGAGTTCAAGGCAGCCTGGTCTACAGAATAAGTTCTAGGGCAGCCAGGACTATATGGAGAAACCATGTTGTGAAAGGGGTGAAGGGGTTAGAGAAAGACAGAGACAGGAATTCTGAGCCCAAAAGAGGATTAACACTACCCCAAGCTTAGAGCCAAGCTTTGCTAATGCTTAGGTAGAAAAGCCCTTGATGACACCTGAGGCAAAGCATCTAAAGTGCGGATCACAATGTCTCAATAAACAGTAGCTGCTATGATTTTTTTCTTCCATCTGTGGTCAGGTCCCATCTTTCAAGCAAGTGCCCATTTCATTATCTTTTATACTGTGATTTGAAGATATGGGAACCACAGCGCTTGGTCTCCAATCTCATCACACATCAAAGGCTGGAGGGAGAAAGCAGCCTTTGATGTGTAAATGATAAACTTCTGCTTTCAGGACCTTCCAGCTGTCCTTAAAATGGGCTCAGGAAGGTGTTCCCTGCCCCCACGGTCCTTGGCAACGCAGAAACCACTATGCACGGTCTAAACCAACCCTTTGAATCGCTCTAACCCCGCAAAGTGGTGATGCATAGCGCCACCTACGGGTAGTCATCGATACAGCTGTGCTGGAACCCCAGGGCTTCCAGTCTGTCTTCCAGGATCTTCACACTGCCTTCGCCACAGGATTCCCTAAAACACAGACAGATGTGGGCAGAGTGAATGGAATTCTATGTAAGAAGTGGGAAATAGTAAGAGCTGGAGGGGACGGGAACTCCACAAGGAGAGCAACAGAACAAGATAATTTGAACACAGGGAACTTCCCAGAGACTCATACTCCAACCAAGGACTATTCGTGGAGATGACCTGGAACCCCTGCACAGGTGTAGCCCATGGCAGTTCAGTGTCCAAGTGGGTTACATAGTAATGGGAAGAGGGACTGCCTCTGACATAATCTGATTGGCCTGCTCGGTGATCACTTCCCCCTGAGGGGGGAGCAGCCTTATCAGGCCACAGTAGAGGACAATGCAGCCACTTTTGATGAGAACTGATAGACTAAGATCAGAAAGAAGAGGAGAACCTCCCCTATCAGTGGACTTGGGGAGTGGCATGCATGCAGAAAGGGGAGGGAGGGTGGGATCGGGAGGGGAGGAGGGAGGGGCTTATGGGGAGATACAAAATGAATAAAGTGTAATTAATAAAAAATTTAAAAAATTATCTATAAAAAAAACACAGACAGATGTTTTTTTGAAACAGATTAGAGAAGGAGGAAACGATAGAAGAAGCTGTTTCAGAGTTAACCAAAGATCTTTAGGCCACTCCCGGATGTTCTTCCCTCACGGAGAACACGGGAAAGCGTGTGGTCTAGACGCTGTTGCTTCTGGGAAATCTACAGTCTAGCAAAGAATGCACTGAACATCCATCTCCCAGAGAGAAGCACAGGGGGCCAGGGATGGCTTGTGCTGTGCCGTTTGCCATGTGTAGCCATGACGGCCCCGCTGCAAACATTTGCAATGGTCCCCAGGGGCTGACAGGATGATAACTTTGAATCTGCTCAACCTACACTAAAAGCTTCAAACAACAAAAGCATACAAAGTTTAAAATGTTAGAGAAAGCAAAAGAGAAAAAGATCATTGCAAGTGTCATCCCTAGACATAATTACTGCTAACAATTTCTAGGCGGCATTAACCCCCACGTGCCCGCAGTCACGCATTCCACAATTCAGTTAGCCAGTCGATGCTGGCCTGAAAATTCTGAGTAGAAAATTACATAAGCAAAACAATTCAGACGTTTTCAATTGCACTCCATGTTGATCGGCTCAGGGAAATCTCTTACTGACCCACCCTGACTCACCAGGGTGTGCATCATCCGTGGTCCAGCCCAGCCACACTGGATAACACCTGTTCATTGGTCACTCTTAGATGTCAGATGGACTGTCAGGGACTTGTAACACTTATTATTGTTCTCGAAATACCCAGAGCAGTCATACTGGCAGTCTGGATATGCCAGAGGAGCCGTGTGCTTTCTCTAGTTTAGATATATGGATGCTGAGCTGCTGAGGTTGCTAATCCTAGAAGAGAAACTCTATCTATGAAATTCTGCTGAAGAAAAAAGAAATTGTGCTGGTTTTGCTGCCATACTCCGCACCTCAGAAGTTAGGCCCACAGTGCATGCACGCACTGAGTCGCTCTTCATTTCAGCTTGCCTTGGAGGCATGTATACAGCACAAGGGATGTTTTCAAGCTAGATCACATTCATTTTTTTACTACAGTATAATATTGTTGTTCTACTTTATTACTAGTTATTATTTTTGTTTCTTAGTGTGCCCAATTTATAAAAGAAACTTCCTCATAGGTTGTACAGAGAGGAAAAAATGCAATCTTCCACTAGGCATTTGAATCACATTCCCAGGGTGGAGGCGCAACAGTATATAAACTTACACTTCCCATGAGGCTTTGTATGCATAGCATTGGCATGCTACCAGTGTGATTGTGTGCTTTAGCCCATGTCTGTATGTATCTGGCTAAATACACGCACACACACACTCACACACACCAGTTTGTAAACTCTGCATGTGTAATATATACATATGTCTATATATAAGTATGTATACATATATGCCACATTTGTAGACTCCGCATTTAAGCACACATATGTATATATAAGTGTATATGTCAGTTTATAAACTCTTCATGTATGTATGTGTAGATGTGTGTCTATATATAATTATGCATTGCACATATGCCATTGTTTATAAACTCTGCATGCTCTCCCTTACAGATCATGTTTCACATAGCAAACTCCCTGTTTTGAAGACTTAAGTTGATTCTTGTATTTCATTGTCACTTAAACTATAACAAAGCTTGTTGAAAATTCATTTTGTACATATTAATTTTCTGTTTCTTTGGCATAAACTCCTAAAAGTAGGCTTTCTTCCATCAAAATTTAAAATCCAATTTGAGGCTCGGAATTTTTCTAATATAATCTTAGCAACTTCAGCATAAGATTTTTTTTTCTTATTAAGTCAAGAATTTTTACCTAGAGAAAGCTCACAGCTTCTGTGGCATATCCAAGTTGCGAGCATGACTCTTCTAGTGCCTTAAGGATAAGGCACAATAATAAGAATTGTAAGTCCATGACAGCAAAATCACACATGCTGAGCATGTCCACTACCCTCGTTCCAACCAATATTAAATCTCTTCCTCATGATGCTCACAATTAGCAGGAGGACTAAAACATCCATGGTAGACACATTGCTACAAACTGTGGTTAGAACAGAGTCCTGCTGAGTCTATGTGGAATGGGAATAGAAGCAACCTCCCCACCATAAAGCTGGTTGGAAGTGAATGTTCAGTGAGCAAATGAGCAGCTGGAGGAAGTTTCCATAGAAATAGAGTTCCAGGAATGAAGAAGACAAAGTACTGGGTGGTGGCATATTTTAGAACTTTTGTCAGAACTTGGAGCCGATGCCCTTCTCTGGGTCAGGCTTACTACTTAGAAATTTTTAGCCAGCAATAGCATGAGCCTCTAGGATATTGGACACAGGGACAAGGAAAGGATTCTTCTATAGTCACTCTAGAGCCAGTTAAAGCTACAATGCTGACAGTTCTCAGACTGGACGTTTTATGTAAATACATGTCACTGTGTTCAGTTGAAGCTTGTCATAGGATGTTTTAAGATTCATATCTTTAGTAAGATCATTACCAGCAAAACAGGTTGACACAGTTCTCACCTCATGCTTGCTGCAATCTGGTTGCCTAAAATTAATCCCTAATAAGATACAACTTATAAACTGTAATCTTCATTGCTTTCTTTAGATTTTGTGTTCAAGTGCCCACTAGTTAGCTCCCAGCCTGCAAGCAACTCTATGCTGTGGCTCAAATGTTCAAGCAGGTGCACTTCTTTTTGTTTATTTTTATTTTTTATATTAATTACAGTTTATTCACTTTGTATCCCAGCTGTAGCCTCCTCTCTCATCCCCTCCTAACTTCACCTTCCCTCCCTCATCTCCTCTCATGCCCCTCTCCAAGTCCACGGATAGGGGAGGTCCTTACTCCCTTCCATCTTAGCCTGTCTTATCCAGTCTCATCCAAACTGGCTGCATTGTCCTCCCCTGTGGCCTGGCAAGGCTGCTCTCCCAGCTCAGGAATAGGTGATCAAAGAGCCAGCCACTGAGTTCATGTCAGAGACAGTCCCTGTTCCCCTTACTAGGACCATTTCATGGATATAATCTGATCACTTTTAAATCCCTCCTGCCACAGAAATGAGGAGATGAGATGATGTTAAAATGACATTTTCTAAATGTAGGGTCAAATAACAAAATCTAATAGATATGACAACATAAATACTAGAAAAGAGAAATTCCTTACAAAAAGTAATTAAAAAAAAACAAGATATAATGCTTTTAGGAAACAGTAAGTATAATTTGTTTTCTAGGAAGAAAAATGCAGATCTTGGTATAACTTATATGAAAAACAGTTTCCAAAGCTGTTGTAATATGTTACCCAAAAGGGGGCAAAAATGCACATCATGAGGTTAGACTCAGGGCATGTTTCATGTTAGAAAGGGAATTTACCAAAGTTCTCTTGACACACACACTCAGTAGCAATGCTTCCTTGGGTTTGGCAATATTCTGCACACAGCATCAAGGCTCTGAAGATTAGGGCCCAGCTCTTCTCTAAAACAGGCTGTGGCCTCACTGCCAGGCTTTGGGGGCAAATGGATTTAACTTTTTAATCTGGCAATATTTAAGGCACAGGTTTGCAAACCGTGAGGTAAGCAAGTGTGTACACAAGTGTGTGTGTGTGGTCTTAGGCTGCTTGACAGTGATGTTCATTTCTGGAAAAAAAAGAGCTCTGCCTTTGCTTATATAAGTTGGGTGGTTGTTGAGAAGCTGTGGGTCTTCCAAATGCTGGTCCTCACCAGTTAGCAGTACCTAGTTGCAGAAATGGTTACTCCATTGAGAGCAAAGGCTTCATCACAGAGCACTGGGCTGATTTTGAAAACCCTTGTGAAGGATTGACCCTTCAAGTGATAAGAAGAAGAAACTAGTTTTGACCCTCAGAAATATAAGAAATTCATGTACCCAAAGGAATCATGAAGGGTAGCATGTATTGGGCTGGAAGCACACTGGCATTCCCAACTGTTGTCCTTCTTTTCATTAGAAGCAGAAGGCTGGCGGGTCCCAAAGCCAGGGCCCTAATGCGCGAAAGGGCCCTGATCAGATCATATCCAAGCAAAGCAAGACCTCACAGCTAGCATCCCAAAGCCCCAATACTTACACATCGGGTCCCCCAACTTCATGCATGACCCAGATCTCAATTCTTGTGACTTTATCCTTTTGTAAGTATGGGATTTCAAAATCTGCAAAAAACCTGGGAAACAGAGAAGACATTTATTTTTGTCTGTGCTTCCATGGAGTTGAGGCTGTACTGCTAGGCCAATTTTCCAGCATTGAGCCCTGTCTCCAGACAAAGAGAACAGTTCTTCAAGTCAACACAGTATGATAACTCTCCATCTTGGCTCTTAGTTTATTTTAATATTTATTAAAATTTTTGAAAAGTTTCCAGGAAAGCCAATTGTGGTGGTACACACCTTTAGACCTAGAACTTGAGAAGTAGAGGTGGATGCATCTCTTGGAGTTTGAGGCCAGTCTGGTCTACATAGTGAATTCCAGAATGATCAGGGCTATTCAGAGACCCTGTCTCCAAAAACAGTTTCTAGGGCTCTTTTCACATATCATTTACATGCACGTGTTTATGTGAGGGCGCACATGCTTGTGGGTATGTACAGAGAACAACATTGGATGCTGTCTAGTCTCACAGTGGCCTGGAACTGGCCATGTAGGGGGGGCTGGCTGGACTAGTACGCCCCAGAGATCCACTTGTCTCTGCCACCCCAGCACTTGGATTACAAAAGTGCTAACATTCCCAAATTTTTTACTTGGCTTCTCGGGATCAAACAGAGGCCCTCATGTTTGCAAAGCAAGCATGTTTGCAAATCAATTTACCTTGTACATTTGGAGACTTTCTCACATATTTGTCAGCTATCTATCTATCTGTCTATCTGTCTGTCTGTCTGTCTACAGCCTGATCCTAACCCCTCCCATTTTCCCCTCCTCCCATTCCCCCTTTCCTTCTTCTCATAGAAAGGGAGGCCCCCAAGGGGTAGCAACCCAGCCTGGCATCTCAAGTCGCAGGAGGTATTTGTCAGCTCTTAGTGGTTTAACGGTATAGAGATGGTTCTAATCACTACATCATTCAACTGTTTTATTTTACCTGACTGTACAAAAGCAAGCATTAAATTGGCCCTGGGAAGATTCCCTAGACTTTATTTGTTATCATCTGTGTTGTTTGTTGGTGTTGCAGTTCTTACCCTTTCACAGGATAGGCTCCTTTTGGCTCTGAGCCATTCAGCATGACGTTGATCACCCCAGAACTGTCTCTTGAATACTGCAAGAAGAAACAGAGATTTTGGCACAAGTGAAGTCACATCATTTTTGTGCTTTAAAAGCAACATTTCTTCGGGGTCTTGTTTGTTTGTTTGTTTGTTTGTTTTAAATTGACAATTTTTGGACTTTTAAAAAACTTATATTTGTGTTTTGGCTCCATGCATGTATATATCAGATACCCCTGGAACTGGACTTACAGACAGTTGTGAACTGCCATGTGGGTGCTGGGATTTGACATGGGTCCTTTGGGAGAATAGTGAGAGCTCTTAACAGCTGAGCCATCTCTCCAGGCCAGACAATTTTTAACAGGGGAAAACTTGGTACTCCACCTGGCTAACAGAGATGCACATTGGTTTATTTATTGGAGAAGCAAATTACCTTTTAAGTTCCCCTTGTCATAACTCAGGTACCCTGACCTGAGAAAATGATCGAGAATGCACACCGTCATGTCTGCTAGAATAAACAAGGCTAAGCAGATGTGACAGGTAGCCTTGACATTGCAGTGGCTTCGCACAACGATTCACTCTGCGCCCCCACTGAACATTCACCACGGGTTCATGGTGGTTTGGCCCTTTGAGTTCTCAGTATGAGGAAGTCTCGACACCTGCAAAGTTATTAACTGCCAGGAAGGGAGTAGGGCCAGTCACACACATGTCACTACCACTCACCTCTTATTGGCCCATGTGAGTCGCACATGAATAACGGCTTGCAGCAGAGTACAAACCACAGGTGCAGAAAGCCAGAGTTCTTTGGTAAATAGTACAGTCTCACCACAAGCACTGCACACAGTGCGATGTGGCATGGCTAGCAAGACCAAAAACATGCTCGCTGGCTTGAAACAGCAAGAGAGTGGTGCAGGATTCCCAGGAGGTACAAACATCGCACTAAAGCCTGAATTATTAAAGTGCACTGGTAAGAATCTATAAACATAGGAAATGCTTACATTGGAAACAAAGTGCAAGATTAGATGGACAGAAGGTGAGTTTCGATACAATATAATTGAGCAAGACTGAGGGTGTGGCTCAGACATACTAGCATGCACATGTCCTTGTGTTCAGTCTTTGGTATCAACAAACAAACAAAAAAGTAAATAAATAAATAAGTGGATATCTAAATAGCCTTGCTCTCAGGGTAGGTGGTTAATGTGTTATTGAGCCTCATTGGACCGGCTTACTCACTAATAAAATGACGCCTGATACCAGCTGCTCCTAAACAGAGATACATTTTGTTAGTACTGCTTCCAGCCAGTACCAACAGCAGGAGTTACCTCTTGTGAACCTGAAGTCTGACAACCTCTGTGCTAAAGGGGCAGCATTTTGGTGGCAGGAATATGGATGATCTCATTTTTCTTTCTGTAACTTGCCATTCTCTACCACAAGCAGTGACTGAACTGATGATGGGAAAGAATTGAAAAGGGTGTGGCTATACATGCAACAAAGCTGTAGACAGTATTGGAAGGAAATTCAGTCTCTGAAGCTAGAGAGCCTGTTTTCAAATCCCAGTTCACCTACTTATTACAATTTTAGCTTTAGGAAAGTCTTTTCACCTCATTTTCCAAGTCTGAACAAACAGCTACCTCAGAGGATAACTATAAAGATGAAACTTTTAACATCATGACATTTAGCCTGGGAATGTAGCTCATGGTAGCACCTTTGCTTGATAAGTGCAAATCCTAAAGGTTGATTTCTATCACCACATATAATAGTGATGACAACAACCTTTATTGACTTCTTATACAGTCCGAGCCTTCTCATTACTATACTGAATTAGTTTTGTTCCTGCTTCAACTCTAGTACATTCTAAGGGCTTAAAAATTGAAGGCACTGATACTACTTTCCCCTAATAACATTCTGTTGGAGCACACACCTTAAAGCCAGGCAGATTCATTGTGGCATGTGCTACAACTCTTTGTTTGTTTGTTTGTTTGTTTGCTTGCTTGTTTTCAAGACAGAGACAGGATAGTGCTTCTCTGCGCAGCCTTGGCTGTTCTGAAACTAGCTCTGTAGACCAGGCTGTCCTTGAACCCACAGAGATAGGGCCTTCTACTGTCTTCACCTGGCTCAAGTGTATTTTACTACCTGTTCACACGTCACTCTTTTATAATGATATGTCTTTAAAAGATTTTAGATTAAAGGTTTACTTTTTTCTTTATGTGTATGGGTACTTGGTCTGCATGGGTGCCTGCAGGCCAGAAGATGGCAACAGATGGTGAGCCACTATGTCATTGCTGGGAATTGAAGTGAGGACCGGAAGAGCAGCTCTTAACCGCTGAGCCCTCTTCAAATAATTTGTTTATTTTTACTTTCTAGGCATTGGTGTTTTTCCTGTGTGTATGTCTGTGTGAATGTATCACACTTCCTGGAACTGAAGTTACAGACAGGCGTTAACCTGTGTGTAATGTGTGGGTGCTGGGAATTGATCCGGGGTTCTCTTAAAGAGCAGCCAGTTCTCTAACTGCTGAGCCAGCTCTCCAGCCTATTACAGTTCTTTTACAGGCAGAGTTGAAATGATACCTCTGTAGGGGTCTTAACCCTTCCAGTCTCCAATAAGAGACTCTGGCAGCTGACTGGAGCCTGTATTTCAGATGAAGCCCTCCCTCCAAAGGTGGGAACAAATGCTGCTCTCAGTGGGGCTGTCAGGAGTGCTCAGCATGAGACCTTGTGCTTGCAGGAGGTCCTTTCCTTAGCCCTGGTGGAAGCTTTGATCAAAGTCCTTCCCCCTATCAGTAGAACAGCAGGAGAGCAAAGTAGATAATGGGAGGCAAAGACACCTCACTTCTGGAAGGGGAGGGGTGGAAGTACCCTGTCCTCAACTTGCTTCTTGCACAATAGACATTTAATCACCAGCACTTAGCTGAGGACTTAACCCTCTTTGTTTCTAATCTTTTTTTTTATTAATTACAATTTATTCACTTTGTATCCCAGCTGAACCCCCTCCTTCATCCCCCTCCAATGCTACCTTCCCTCCCTCTTCTCCCATGATCTTCCCCCAGTCCATCTGACCTTAGCCATATCAGGTCTCATCAGGACTGTCTGCATTGTCTTCCTCTGTGGCCTGGTAAGGCTGCTCCCCTTTCAGAGGGAGGTGATCAAAGAGCCAGCCACTGAGTTCATGTCAGAGACAGCCTCTGTTCCCCTTTATTGCAAAGGTTCAGGCAGAGAGCTTAAACTAAAAATGACGCCATTTCATAGTCACTGACGGCCATTATCAATTGTGGAGCTAATATCCTCTGAGACTCAGACATGTCTTAGGAACATTTCTGTGATTCCAGCTTACTGGTAGCCTATCAGCTCTTCTCCCATTAAAGATACTCCATGGACACTTCTGATACCCACATCTAAGTCTTCAGCTTCCCAGGCTCTTCTGTAAAATAGTGATTACTCCTGTTTTTCATAGCACTAAGAATTAGCATGGCTTTGAAACACTAAACACAACCACACCGCAACAGAAATGCTGACTATGCACTGCCCATGTATAGCTAACATTTGCCAAATGTTTCTCTCTGCCCCAGCCACTGCATTAAGTATTTTATCCCCTTAAACCCTCACAACTTTGTGGAACAGAGAAAAGGAGTGAGAGCAGTCATTAAAGTGGAAAGGAAGATTCATTAAGGTAATCTTGACCAAGGCATTCCATCTAGAGTCCAGGTCATAGATTCCACACATGCTCAGCACCCACTCACCCATCCCAGGATTACCTGCATGGATGCACTTTTCCAGTAGGCATCCACAGCATTGTTTTCACAGTCTTCTGATGTGGGGCAGGACTGGTAATCAAGTCCTAAAAGAAAAGTACACAAACACATTTCATGTTGTAAATGTATTAATTCTAAGTACATGCTAACTCCATATTTGGCATGGATTCTGAACAATGTGCACAGGGCATTTACCCTCTCTAAGCCTCAATTTCTCTTGTGGAAAATAAAGAGATGAAGGCAGAGTCCTGCTGGATTGGAATCATAGACTCTGAGATAAGAGTGCAAGACTACACAGCCTATTCACTATACCTACCTAAGCAATTCCCTTAATCATGCCATGCCTCCATCTCCACAACTGAAGAATAGGACGAATGATAGGAGATAATGTGTGTATTCTAGACTTAATGGGTCTAAAGTGCTTGTAACTGAAGTTGGCAAGGTAGATACACTCTTCCTGTTATTGTTATTACCAATTCCTATAGATACCACTTACCTCATAAGATTTGGGAAGGATTTAAAAGAGATGAACACATATGAAAACTTCCAGCACCGGAGGTAAACCCACAGGTTGAGGAGCTGCGATGGGTACAAAGGTCTTACCAGAGGCATTTTCCTGTCGACACCAGCTCAAGAAATCCCCAACCTTGCCATACAGAACATCGCACAGGGGCATGAGGCGACGGGTGTTCTCTGCATAGCTGGTAACGAGTAGGTGGTTATTTTCCCAGAACAGTGACTGATGAGAAACAACCAGGAGTTAAAATACAAACTAAAATGAAAGCGCATTGATTGCAGTGTTATCAGGATGAGCCAGCAGCCATTCCTTAGGGAATCTGGCCTGCTGTAAGCCTGCTGCTCTCTTTTTCCTCATGGCTGTATCACAAACAAGCACGTAGATGAATGGTTCTCAACCTCCCTAATGCTGAGACCCTTAAATCGAGTTCCTCATTTTGTGACCTCCAGCCATAAAATGATTTTAGCTACTACTCCACAACTGTCATTTTGCTACTGTTATTCATTGTAATGTAAATATTTTTGGAGCTAGGGGTTTGCCAAAGGAGTTTCAACCCACAGGTTGAGAACCACTGGCTTAGACTATGACATAATTCTTCTGTAGTGTAAAATAAGTGCACCACTGATATTTTTTTTAATCATTTGTAACCTTTGCATTAAAAATTATTAAAGGACCAGGGTTAGAGGCCTGGCTTTGTCCATGCTAGATGTGTAATCTTGGCCAAGGCATATCATCTCTCTGAGCCTCAGTTTCTACATGTGGAAAATGAGAAGCAGAAGCCTTTGGCTTAGTTCTGTAGCTCTGATTAGGATGGTATGCAGTAACACAATGCAAAGTGCTTAAAAACATCTCATTTTTTTAATTTTTAAAAATTTCTTATTTATGCATTTTTAAGTGTAGGAGTGTTTTGTCTCCATGTACACCTACATGCCAGAAGAGAGCATCAGATACCAGTATAGATAGTCATGAGCCACCATGTGACTGCTGGGAATCGAACTCAGGACCCTTGAAAGAGCAGCCACTGTTTTTAACCACTGAGCCATCACACCAGCCCAAAACCCCTCACTCTATATAGCACACCTGCTACCTTCCAGGATAACTAGTGTCTTCATACAGCATATGTAACAATATTTCTGGTCTCTGTTTCATACAGTCCTAGGTAGTCCAGCCTCTTTGTAGATGGGAAAGGCTACAAGAACTGTTTTGTACATTGGATCCTTAACCCTTAATACAATACCAGGAATACAGAAGAGTTCCAGTACGTTATTTATTGTGTTCATCAAATATCTCACTAAACCTATGAGAGATGTAAGTTTTAAAATTACGCACCTGTCTTTTACCAACAAAGAAGTAGAAAAAAAATGCAGTACAAATGAAAAAATTACACTTTTGGTCATATCTGAGGTGCTTGTGCTTACCTTGTCTCTAGGAATGGAGTGCCTGGAGAGGCTAATGAAGAGGTCATAGTCTGAGGGGAGGACGGAGCAGGGATCCTTGTCTAGCACCACTCTGAAGGCCTCCCAGATGGCTGTGCAGTTTTTGTTCCTGTGCAGAAGTGCCAGTCAGGGCTGGGGACATGGTTCCCAGGGTAAGGCTGCTTGTGCTGTAAGCACAAGGCCCTGAGTTCAACACCCACCACCCTCCCCACGTGGCTGCCTGTGCCTCTAATCCCAGCATTGTATGAGCTGGAGACAGGAGGATGACTGGTGCTTGCTGGCCACTAGCCTAGCTCTCGCTTCCAGACAAAGTTCAGAAGATGATGGAGTCAGAAAATGACAGAGCAGGAGACCCATTGTCCTCCTCTACATGGGCACAGGCACATCACACACACACACACACACACACACACACA